GGAGTTTGGAAGCAAAAAATTGCTGCAATAATTCTGTAATTGGTGCATAAACATGCAAAAATTAGATGTTAGGTTGATTTTCTTAATTAGTAATCTGCAGTAATGAAAGGAATAAACAAAGATGTTCCTAGCTGAAGAAATATATATGTTCCTATACATATTATATTACCAGAACTGCTGTCATATTCTTATCCTGAACAAATGAAGGCTAAGAAACTTTCTGAGGAAGCTTTGCTGTAAACTGACAAAAACTCCATGGATGAAGTGAAAAAGTCTGTAAGATGATAACACATCTGGCTATATATAAGTTAAATATGATAACCTGAGCTTGTTGATAGTAAAGTAATCTCAAATGATAAGAAATTATATTGATGGAGGAAATTTAGGGCTGATTTTTTTGTGTAAGGGGTTGTTCTGGGAGCAGAGCCACTGCTGCCTGACTTCTTGGATCTTGTCTTATAGATCTGCTGTGGGTTCCAAGTTGCCTCATTCCTTTGAAACCTCTCCTTCAGATTGGGGATTATTTACCTTAGACACTTTCAGGAAATTCAAGGGAACATAATTACCTTTGAGGTCTTTATATAGTAAATGGCTTTTCAATCTGCTGGGCAGTTTCAGACAGATGTAGAGTGACAAGCAGGCAGAAGTCTAAAGCATTGTACTTCAGCAAGTTCCATATTTTCCCTAAGAAAAAAGATATATTTTCTAAAACTGCTAAATTAAGGGCAAGATAATGTGTCTCCAGCATTTTATTGCATATAAGGGGAGATTACAAAATGGAAAGGGGAAAATAAGACAGGAGCGATAAAGAGTCATATAGCCAAGAAGAAGGAAAAGGATGGGAGAAATCTCTTATCCCACATTAAAACAGAGGCTGACAGAGGTGGATGGTGGCTTGGAGCCCCATTCCAAATTGGCAGAAGGCAAAAGTTGAATGTGGCCTGAAAGAGAAAGCTCAGAAGCCCAGGGCTGAATCTGAGCCAGTGTGTTTCTTATAGGATTTTGATTTGTAAAAGTTTCATTCCAAATCCAAATAGGATGAAGTGGATATAGGTTGATTATGGCGGAAAATAATTTTAGTTTCATGCAAATTAAACTAAAATTTATGGGAGTTAAAAACCCCAACACTTATTTTAGGGAAAAATAAAAGAAATTTTGCCTAGAAATGAAATTTTTATTCACCCCAAAATATTTTAAATGGACATTTTGCTTAATTTTTTTTTCCTTGGTAATGTCAGAAAGACTGTGTGAATTTCTAAATATAACCCATTCCATCCAAGTGGCATTTTAATACAGAAAAAATATTTAGGTAAAATTTTTCCAACCGATTCTAGTTGCAGTTTATGGCCAGATTAGAGGCATATTTTAACATATTTTAGCAGAATCTTCTCAGGTGCCAAGAACAGAAGGATCCCTGGACTTTGGACAAAAACACTTGCCTTGTTTTGGCTGGTCAAGAGAAGAGATCAGACAAAAAATGTAACTTCCCCCAAATTCATAACTTTTCTTCTTTTTTTTCTTTGTTTGAAATTACATCTTTGACTCCCATAGCATATGTTCTTGCATGTGTTTCTTGGCACTCCTGAAGGGCAGATCTGTTTCTTACATGCTTCCTGCCTTATTTTTTTCTGGGGAATTAATTTTGTCCTGGATATGTGTGCAGGATTCCTGTGACAGCCATAATTTTTCTTTAATATCATTGTATACATATAGAGCTTCTGTATTAATACTGAGTTTGCTACCTGCCCACCAGCAAAGCCATATGCTAGAATCAAATGTTAATTGGTTATCAGTTGGGGATTTAGTCCTACTCATCTGCTAGATGGGTAGTATGAGAAACTTATACCAGAGTTAATGGAACATACTCTCTAGTCTTGTCAAATTGCCCGTCTGCCATAGACTTGTTCCATTACAACCAAAACACAAAATGAGGTTTGGATTTGTTTTAGCATTGCAGGCTCTTTAAAATTCTGGTTTGTTTTTCAGTGTGGCTTGACAGGAGTCTAGAGAATCAGGGAGGATGAAAGGGACCTCTGGAGGATATTGAGTTCAACCTTTTCCTCAAAGCAGGCATGGTTAGAGATCAGAACCTTGGCCTGGTGAACTCTGAGTGCCTTTGAGGGAGATTTCCCAGCTGCTCAGGGCACCTACTTCACTTTTTTACCATCCTCATGGTAAAATTCTTTCCTTGTAGCATGTTCTCACTTGTGCCTGTTGCTGTTTGCCATGCATCTCTAAGAAGGACTTGCTCTTGCATTTACCCGGGCTCAGGTGGTTGCAGACCAGCAGCAGGGTCTACCCTGCATCTTCTCTGGGTCTGAACAGCCTCAGATCTCAGTCTCTCCTCTCATCCCAACCACCTTGGCTGCTCTCTGATGGGCTTGCCTCAGTTTCTCAGTAGCTTTCCTGTCACTGAAGAGCCCAGGATGGGACCCCACACTCCAAAGGAGGTCTCACAAGTGCCACATGGTGGAGAAAGATCACTTCCATTGTTCAGCTGGTTTCTGAAAACTCAGTGTGGTGATTAACACAGCCAGGGTGTCACAGCCACAAAGACTCCCTGCAGAGTCTTTTTGAGTGCAGTTACTCCATCCTGGGTGCAGCTGTGGGAATAACTGATGAACATGGAAGCATTTGAATTATCTACGAACAAGAGCTGTTGGGATAAAAAATGGTAAGTGTTTGTTCTAGGGCTGTGCATAGGAACACAGCCATACAACAGCTCTAAGATTATGTGCCCTTGGGGATGTCCTGTTCCTAGCCAAGGAAGCCAAGGCTGCAAACTGTGCAGAAATCTGTTCCTTACACATAACTTCACAGCAGCAGTGCCTAGGCAGGAACAAGATTTCAAAGATTTATACCTAAGTCTGACTTTGTAATTCAAGAGCCCTCGTAGTATAAAGCAAAGCGCATTCTAAAGTATTCCAAGGAGCAAAGTTTGAACAAAACATTGCTAAATCTATGAATAAGCAGCAGAAAGTACCCTGTTAGTAAAAAAATTAAGATTTGAAAGGTAAAAAGTGTAGTTAAGGAGACAAAGAAAAGAAAATAATTTTACCAAAGACTGGTGTGGAATGAAAGAATAAAACAAACAACTGAGATGCATACTCATCAAAAACACAGTTGTTAATTGAAAAGCTGACAGACCTGTAACTACAGCAGTGCCTCTGGCCGCCACTGTAATAAATGTAACTGTACATTTAGAGTAATTTGCTAATTTGCCTAAGTAACACCCACAGACAGCAACATGACATAAATACATTAGTGGAAGCAACAACTATAACCAGCTCATACAGGTTCTTGGCTGCTAGATGGATGGATTAGATGAGCTGGAAAAGATTTACTGAACAGAACAGAAATGGAGCTGGTAACCACATTGTGGGATACAGGATTTCTTTATTCCTTTAAGGCCTGAAGATGCCTCATGTTGCAGCATGTAAATAACATTTTTAACTTGTGTGTGTGTGTACACACCTAGAAAGCTTGTACAGGTGGAGTACACATCTGCTAAATGCCAAGTGTTTCAGAAACTAAAGAGAGAAGCCTTTCAGGTAAATAATTGAATCTTGAACCTTTAACATGTAATTATAAATATCTGAAAAGAGTTTTTGGTAAATACTCTAAAGACATGTATGTATTTGGTCCATAGGAAAGACTGGAACCTGTACCATCAGCTTTCCTAATACAGGTGTTCCAAGTGTCTGAAACTTGTATTTCAGAATCACCCACATCTTCATCTGGCAAAGTTCAGCCCTGTGTCACCTCCCTTAGGCTAGCACTGTTCTGTCTTCTGTTTCCATAGCTCTGAATCACACTGTTGCATTTTTTTCTGAAGTCCTACTCATGCCAACTTTTGTCATTGCATATTAACTGTTTTTTTGTGTTCTCTAAGTAGCCTGCCTCCAGGTTAAGCTTGGGCCATCACTAAGGATTTTTATGTTATCAGCAATGCATTTCTAAAATTAAAATCCCAAAAAATTGCTGTTACGCAAGGCGGGTTTAATTTTCAGTAAGATATTTCTTTCTGGTCCCAATCTCCTCTTCTGACCGTCTTGATCCTGATGCAAATTAACAGTGCAGAAACAAAGCTAATGAATGCAGCTTTGCACAGTTTCTCTCTTTGTTTCTTCCAGATGTGCTTAGGAGGTTTGTGCTGAGCTGTTTGAGACAGGCAATGCCAGCTCTCAGGGGCAGAATCCAGTGAATAACCAAATGCAGAGTCAGGTGAAAAGTTTCTGTTTCAGTGCTGCTCTCAGGAAGAGCCCACGTGTGTGGGCATATATATTCTTGCCTTCATCAGGAGGTTGATCTAAGGTTTTTCACTAAATACGGGTTGTAAAATATTCTTGAACATGAGTCACTTTAAATTATAGTCTGCAGAGCTAAGGGAGTCACTGAGAAAATGGAGCAGGAAAAAAGCCATGGGATAGAGGCAAAGAGTGAGATTTCACTGTGGGATGTGGATTTTTGACAGCCAAACTGAGTCCATGCCTTGCTTGAAGGCTTGATATTAATGTCAGGGCACAGACCCCTCTGGCTGACCCAAGTTCTGAGTGTCAGTACAGGCTGACAAAGACCTCAGCTCTGGGAGAAGAGAGCTGACATGATTTTATGAAGCATTACGGCTGATCTTCTTTGAACCCTAATTTCTGTCAAAGAGTTATCATCACTGTCACAGTAAATGATACTTGCAGCACAAATGGCAATTAACTAGAAGTAAATAGTAGAGCAGAAGTCTGCAGACTGGTTTTTAAGGTTGATGAGTTGAAAGTAATTTCAACACATTAATGCTAAGCATGCTAAATCATAGTGTGCCATGAAAAAGACAGTAATGTCATTTACCTGAAATCAGCAGGAATTACAATAACATGTAGTAGGGGTAGGCTCGATTGTTTCAACTATGTGAGCATATTACAGGAACCGATAACACTTTGTCTATCTGTTTGCTTTTATCAGATTTTTCATAAAACAAGTAATTTGTTTGTTTTTCACTGTTTTAGGTAGCCTGCCCTATGAATACAAGATTGTGATAGCAGGAAATCATGAATTGACCTTTGACCAGGAATTCATGGCTGACTTAATCAAGCAGGACTTTTACTATTTCCCCTCTGTTTCTAAGCTGAAGCCAGAGAGCTATGAAAATGTACAGTCTCTTCTAACAAACTGCATCTATCTTCAAGACTCTGAAGTGACGGTGAGGGGATTCAGAATATATGGCTCCCCTTGGTAAGCAGGTTTTTAAGCATACATAAAAAAAATATTGTTGATTGCTATCACATCAGCCATTTTGTCCGCATCAGCTGTATTTGAATTGCTGTGTTAGGAAGAAAAGTAACACTCACTTTTATAAAGTTTTTATATTTTCTTGTAATGAATCATTTCTGTGACAAAATAATGTACTGTACTGTGGGTATGGTTAACCAAATAATGATGGGAAAAAAAGATGGTGTGCTCTTCAAACTCTCAGCCAGGAACAGTTGTTTAACAGTCCATGCAGGGGGCTTTTGTGTCATAAAATATGTTTTCTATCCTTGGTGAATTTATTTAATTACAGGTTAATTTTATCGCAAGGGTACATTCTTTTGACAATTTCTATCCTACAGAAAGTATTGGAGGTTCATTAGTGTGTACAGTAGTCACTTAATTGAGCAAGCTTATTTCAGCAACTCTGAAGGTCTTTTATTGCATATCCCTCAGAACCTTACTTTCTTTTATAAAGTAATAGCTTTCCTCAAGGTCTAGCTGAGCTTCTAAAGTCAACAACTCAGTGGCAGCTTAATATTTCATGGATTTTGCTCTACTGCATAGTGATCACTTAGAACCCTTGACAGTATTGAGGGCAGGTGGACTTTGGTTCCTGACTTCCTTGTATGTGCTGCTTCTGTGTCTCTTACTAATGTCCCATTCCTGTTTATTATTTCTGCTGATGGGCCTGTAAATTGGATCTTTTTGTGAGCATTTGGTACATGTTTAAAATAAGTAAAAATGTATTTTAAAAGGCAGGTTTTAAGGGAATATATTATTCTTCCTTTTAACATCACATCAGGCTGAAATGTAGCAAACAAGTTGTCAAACCTGATGCATATACCCTGATGTAAATTTTCAGTGTGAATAAACTGTGAAATCTCTTGGATTTTTTTTCTTTTTTAGTGAAAATAGTCTTTTTCCCATTTGGTTACTTGAGATGGGTGTTAATTTTGTCTGAGCTTATTATTCTACATTTGTCTAGATTAGTTTCTTTCTTAAATGCACCCTTCTCTTTCTCCCTTTCAGACTTCCAGATCTTTCTGGTTTTTTTCAACCTACCAACCTGCTGTTTTATAGTTCATCTTCCTCTTGTGTGTACAATGTATGCAGTCAGTGTGCATTTTACTTAATTTTCCAAATTATTTGGGAAGATGTTAGATGGTATCAGTCCCAATATTAACTTCTGAGAAATGCCACTTGGCATCTTTTCCCATTTTGATGTTGAACTGTAAATACTGTAATTACGCTCTGTTTACAATGTGTCTGGCCACCTCATGTCTTCCTTGCAATGTTGGTAATCAGGCACCATATTGCCAGTGTCAGTAATAATTTTTTAGGCAGTGAAGTACCAAAAGTTGCATGGAAGTCTAGAAAAATGAAATTAAAACAAAATGCTATCTATAAAGTAGCACTATGTAGAGGCTAAAGAGAACCACTTGAACTTTCTGTGTGTGATTAGATCTGCAAAACCCTGTGGAGAAAACCTTTAGTCCACCCACTAACCCATAAATAATGTTTCTGTAAAATCAGCTCTACCACATTCCCTTTGTGACAAATCCTGTCACTCTGCACAAGTTGCCTGAGCTATCTGCCATGATCTATCCTTCAAATAAAAACAACACTTTCCATCTCTTCTGCAACTCCAGGTCATGGCCACACTTCCACACTCCATGTTTTACAATGTTGCTAAATCATCTCCCACCCCTTTATGATCCAGGAAGTGAGTGTTGTGAGGTCTCCTGAAGATATTTGCTTTCTCCATCTGGGAGAGAGTCTTGATGAAAGTCTTCCAGCCACACTGAGCTTTTTTGCTCGCTATTCAGCAAGACAGAATGAAGTTTCCACGCCAATTGATGACGTGTCCAGTGGAAACATCAACAGTAGTAATAACAGCCCTTCATCAGTCTATCAGGGCAGCAGATGCAGAGTCCCATCAGCCAGGTCACCAGTCAGAAAGCTTGGGAAGGCAAACAGCTCTTGTGTGGGGGTTTGACTAGCTGCTGCTGGATCCCAGGCTGCGGTACACTCCTGCGCCTAGTGAGCACCACTGTTCTTTGGCATTTCTGTTGCTATACTTTGTTTGCCCTAAAAGGAGAGGTTTGTCATGTCCTCTCTGGGAAACCAATCTCAGTTTCTTTCTACATCATAGTAATGTAATCTCTAAAAAGATACAGAAATTTGCTGAACTTTACATAGTGAATATTTTTTTGAACTAGCATTAAAAAGCTTGTCCGCTAGAAAATATTTATCAACATAGTCAAAACCTCACAATTTTAAGTTTTTTAAGGTCTCAGAACTCCATAAGAAAGTCAAATTTCATGTAGTTGCTTGTCTAATATCCTAAAACAATTTTCTTTTTCTGCTTTAAAAATATGCATTTAAACTTTCCATTTCTAGTTGCAGCACTGACCTTCTGTCTTTACATCACCTTTTGTAGAAATAATTAGAAGCTAGAGATTTCCCTCATTCATAAAACATGTTGATCAATAGTTGCAAAGTACTTTGACAACACTGGAGTAAGGTCTGAATGAAAGCCAAGCAGCATTAACTTAGTATCATTTACCTGTAGCCATCTGCATTTGTATAAATAACCTGCAGACATTAGATTATACTTCTATTTAAAATGTTTTAGTTGCAAATTAAACCACGAGAGCTTGATTGGTTTGTATAACATGCCAGTCTCTAAGGTCTTTTAAATATGTACCACTTGCGTGTGGTTAAATATTTTTAATAGCACTTCGTATTTGTCTTCTATTATTATCTAAAACCAAGTGGTTATTTTTAATTGCACAGAAGAAATGGGACAGTGTTTTGTCTCAGAAACCAATGCTCTAACTCTCCTGGGCTCCAAGGGCAAGAATTCAAGTGCCAAATTGAGCCTCTACTCACTAAAAAAAATTTAACTGTCTTAATTGTTAATTACACAAGTATTATCATTGAGCAGGGAACAGCCATTTTGAAATGCCACTTGCAATGCACAAAAGCAGCTACTTAGGAATTAGCACTTGCAAAAGCCATATCTTGGACAGTGGATTATCAGGATAGATGATAAGGAGGAGAAGTGTGAAAACATTAGAAGTTTCATGAGAAACTCGGTAATACCAAGACTTGAAGTGTGTCCAGAGCAATGCTGACTGCAATGGGTAGCTGTTTGGCCTAGGGGCATGATGCTTCTCACAGTGCTTATGGGGCTGGCTGCCAGATCTGGATGGATGAGCAGGGCACCAGTAAGAATGCAATGTGCTTCAAAGAATCCCAGGATGGCTCAGGCTGGAAGGGACCACAGTGGGTCACTCGTCCCACCTCCCTGCTCCAGCAGGGCCATCCCACAGCACAGGGCACAGGATTGTGTCCAGAGGGGTCTGGAATATCCCCTGTGAGGAGACTCCACACCCTCTCTGTTCAATCTGTTCAGTCCTCGGTCACTGCCCAGGACAGAAGTTCTGCCTCCTGCCCAGGTGGAACCTCCTGGCCTCAGTCCCTGCCCGTTCCTCTGGTGCCATTGCTGGGCCCTGGAGCAGAGCCTGGGCCCTGCTCGGAGCCCTCCCTGCACACAGGGACACCCAGGGCTGAGGGCCCCTCTCAGCTGGGGCTCCTCTCCAGGCTGGACAGCCCCAGCTCCCTCAGCCTTTCCCTGCCACAGATGCTCCAGGCCCTGAATCATCTCTGCAGCTCCACTGGCCCCAGTCCAGGAGCTCCCTGTCCCTGCTGTGCTGAGGAGCCCAGGACTGGACACAGCACTGCAGATGTGCCTCACAGGGCTGGGCAGAGGGGCAGGATCACTCCCTGAGCTGCTGGCACTGCTCTTCTTAATGCACTTCCTTCAGTACAGCTCAGATGCTAGGAACTGTTGGCTCTTCTTCAGTATAAAGGCTGGACACTCTGATTTATTTTTGCAAAAACAAGTCATAGGAAAATACACTCTAGTTTCATCCCAGCAAAACCCAGGGCATAGCCAGAACATATTCACCGGCCTGGAAACAATCTTGTGCACACACCAGCTGTAGTTGCTGTGAATGTAAAAGAGAAGACTTTAGTTTTTCAATAACATTTACTGTAAAATGGAAAGCTTCTACTTGAAAAGTACTTTTAAACTCCCCTTTTGTTCTGAACTGTTATGAAGATAGACAAACTGGCAGATTGAATGAACACCAGAGAAGTGGCAGAGAAAACACCCTTAGGTGTTTCCAAGACTTGGCTAGACAGTCATGGCTGACCAGATCTCGTGGTGGTGAGAGGTAGTGAGTGGTAGGTTGGACAGCAGATCTTCAGAAGTCCTTTTTGAGCCATCTTTCTGTGATTCTGTCAATCCCACTATGGAGCTAGAACTGTGTGTGAGGCAGACACCTGAAATGGGCAGGTATCAACAAAGGCCTTGTAACAGGGAGTTTGCTGTTGTTATCACACTCACTACAAGCAGTAGATGGCCCCTTGAAGCAGAAGGTCTTTGTCACCAGACAGCGTTCTTTGATATCAGATAGGGTATTAACTCTATGATGACATCATTCATGGAAAAATACTAATAATTTATTAGTGAGTATTTGAGTTACAGATTTTCAGCCTTCTATTGTAGTTCATCATTCCCTCCCAGTACTATGTTGCAGGTAAGAGTTTTGGTATTAGCCACAGCTTGAAGATAGACTATACCATTCACTCTTGTTTCTGTAACTGCCAAAGATTTTAATTGCACAATTACACACTGTGTTTGCTCAAAAAGACCTGATGCATTCAGTGCACAAGATCTGCTGTGCTTGCTGAACAAGTCCACTGTATATTAATCCTTTTACAGTTCTTATTCAGAAATGCCCTGTAAAAAACAAATGCCTATAAAGGTGCATGTGCAATTTTGTATGGACATGGGAACAGGTCTCTGAGGTCTGTAGAAAAGATGTGCATCTGCTAAAGGACTGTGTGTATGGTCTGATCTGGTGGAAAATGGTGAGTGGCCTTTCTGTTAAGAAGTGGATGATTGTGCATTT